TTTACTTTTGACCCCCCAAAGTACCAACTAGATTCACTTTTTGATCGAACGAGGTACTGAAGTCAAAAATCGAAGCATTTTTACTGCCCCAAAACGTGATGACAGACACAAAAAAAAAAAAAAAAACACATCATGGTAAAATCAATACATTCATCGCTCCGCTCAGAATCTAAAATTGTGAAAATACAAGTCAAGATGCAACTGAAATTATTACAAAAACCGTAATTAAAATTGAATATTATAGCTGGCTATAGCTTTAACTGCATGTGTTATTTTATAAAATTTTGAATTAAACTATAATGTACACTACCTAGTACCTATACAGCCACACATGACGTTCAACCACTAAATATTTCGAACGCATGACCTGAATTTTATTCTGATTTTTTTACTGCATAAAGCCATAAATTACATATTAAAATTACTTTTATTTTTTTTAAATTATAATCCATCTTATAGTATTCAAATTTTAATTTTTTAATTTTTTAAGATTTTTAAAGTTTTGTTCTTAAAAATTTGCTTACTGAGAAGTGTGAGTTAGCAAAWGTTTTGATTTATATGCATATATGAATATGATATTATATTACATATGTTGTATTTATCCTATTTAATAACAAACTATATTTGCAATTTTACTATGTTTTGTGCGATTTTGTAAGTTTTTTTTAGAACTCAGTTGTGGTGCCGTAATAAACTATCGTAAGTAAAGTACATTTATATTACTTTCACCAAATTATTGATATTATGTTCGAGTGTTAACTAATAGGGATAGCTACATATTATAATGGTTACTTCGAGAAAAAAGTAAACTGACTACAATAATAATATGTATAATGCATATGCATAATACTATACCATAGGCGCAAATAGACAAATTATTTTGAGGGGACTAAAGCCCCTCCTATAATATTTTCTAAAAATTATATATTCTCAGTACTAATTACTKACTTTTGAACTGGGGGGACTTGGCAAAAATATGGTGGGACTAAGTCCCCCCAAGCCCCCACCTATTTGCGCCAATTCATACTACATTAACTAAAAATAAAAACTCATAATCGAATATTTCCGATCAAATACCTATAGAAATATAGGTAAACTAATTAATTTTTTTTCAAAATTAACATTAATCAATCGTAACAAGTACCTAAATGTTTCTTTCTCTTCCGCAAGCAGGTTTATAGGTTATGTTAAATTTGTATTATTATCAAGGACTTGAAGATTACTTATACCAGAGTAACTTAATTATTTTTCTACTCGGTCTTTTCTATTATTGCTAAAATTGTGGTATTACATCATGATATCCGTACGTACATCATTGTATCAACTATCAATCAACAGTGATACACATTCTATAGGTATAATAGTCACACACTACACAGTTTGCGTGACACGTCATGTCATTGCGACTCACGATTATTACTATTATTATTATATATACCTACGGTACGACGGTCGTCGGATCACACTGGAAAATTACACGGTCGGCCGGCCGGTCTCTTTGATGACCGACGATAATAGATTACATCGGACAATTACACATTGCACGCATGCTACACACTAGCACACGCACGCATACACACAGTTTTAGATTATTTGTGTGTGTGAGAGAGAAAGAGAGAGAGAAAGTACTGCTGTCYGCTGTGCGAGCTGTACTTAGACGCTCACAAATAAAATAATAATACATAATATGCAAGCGACAAATTGAATTCCGTGTATACCGAAAAAATTGAACGCCCTTCCTGCCCGACTAGTTTAACCTTTGAAAACTCTCATTCGGGGCTAATCGTTTTTGATCACACGACGCAGCACCATTATGATAGGCTTATAATATTAATTATAGTCACTTTTTTTTACTTACATTTAYTCTTATAGGCGAAACCCAACTCGTATGGGTTAGGTCAGGTTAATACATTATAGTAAAATTGCATTATTGCAGCTAATGCCATATTATCGATTTATCGAACCTAATCTAACCTATGGATCGAATATGTAGGTACAATTTTCAATGTAAATATAAAGAAATAGTTTCATATTATTAGTGAAGTATACACACTTAAATAATTAGGTAGTCTTTATATTATATTATATATAGAAGATACATTTAAGTATTAGGTGGTAGTTGTCTAGCTATTTCAAAGAAATTTAACAAGTTTCAAAAATAATTTAGATAACCCACAGTATATATACATATTATATCGGCTATCGAGCTCGTTATCCACTAGAATTAATTATAATATATTTTATTTTTAATGAGCACGGTCAAACATCAATATATTTAAAATCTCATTGTGAGCTGAGATTTGAAATTATTCCGTATTTAAGTGATTTTTTTTTTTTATTATTGCAATAAAAGGCTTCAACATCACAGGTTATTAGCCTAAAAATAATTATAAGTTAATAACTTTATTGGGAGACATTTCTATAAAGGGGGATGTAAAATATGTTATGTACAGCTTTTTTTTTTTAATTACATTAATTTTGATAAACCTATATTTGTGAAAAATGTATAAATATTTTTGCAGTTCTCTTCTCCCAGTGCTTGATTCATCGATGATGGATTTCCCGGATTTCCGAGTATTTGTCTGGAGGTGTTGAACTTGGGGTTAAGTGAATTATTTTTAACAAAATAGTTTTATATAATAACCTATATCCAATCATTAATCAATATTTATTGTGTTTATTTTATATCATAATTTTAAAGAAAGTATGAAAAAAACCTATTTTATTTTTTTATATAAATGCATCATAAATCATAATATTATAATATTAATATGGTACTATTATATCTCGAGATATTGTGTGTACCTACTGATATTATAGGTACCTACTAACTTGTATACCTACAACCTACACAATATATCAAGGGAGTTCGCAAGAACATCATCGCTTCTCCCTTAAACGGATTATTTTTATGTAATTTGGTAATAATAGCAGCATACTATGGCATATCATATGATATATAGTTTATAAAATATATCTAGATTGAAAAAGTGTTAACAATGRTGTAGTATGCTAGGTATATTTGGAATAGAGATACTTATAGAATATATAGTATACCAAAATATAATAATATACATATACCAATTTGGCCATTGATTAAAATTTTTCACCATTTGGACTTTTTTTTAATTTATGAGGGRGGCGTTCTGGCCAAGGTTAGGTTAGCATATATTAAGGTGAATTCACTTTGATTTCTATAGCGCCAAAATGAATTTATATTTATTATTTTATTTACAAACACGCTGGATACAAATATTTAGTACCTTTGTCCTTTAAATATGTATTTAATAATATATACATTATAGGCACAATACTAATACAATAACAATTAATAATATTATGTATATATAGCTTAAAATTACTTCAAAACATTTTTTTTTTCGTTATTGATACAATAATAATAATAATAATGAAAAACAAAAATGTTTTAAAAGATAAACAAAATAGGTAGGTGGTATTTACGGAGTTGTTTCAATAACGGTGGAGTGGCTGACTGCATATAAATTGCTGATGCTGTTGCTGCACATTGACGTAAAACGCCGCTGACACAGCGTTACCTGCAGTAAGGCCACACGTACACACTCCATCCGTGATTAAGCCACACGGCGATGGTGGCCGCGGCAGCAGAGCCGTAGGTTTTTTCAATATCTCTTCGATGGTGTAAGGCGTGTGAGGCTTCTTCGGGCTCGGAGGCGCTAGTTGACCGTTTAATGGTCCCCCAACGACGCTCACGTGTCCGTTTTCATGAATGTGCTGGTGGATTCGTTCATAGTACAAGTCTATAAATGAAATATTGACATATTGGTCTATGTTTTAATACAATAGGTTAGGTTAAATAGAGCTATAAAATGAAAATCGTATTATTGTTTAGGTATATAGTTAACGTTCTTAGGATATTAAACTAAATGTAATTATTTTTTGCGTATTAGTTTAATAATCAGTAAAATTTTAACCTAAAGGATGTATCCATGGTAGGTTGCGTATCGGAGGAGGTGCAGTTAGAGATCCGGCCATTCTGTTTGATACATCAGCTTGTTTGCAGCATCTGGTACTTTTCTTTGAAAAATGTCCTTGTGTTGTCTAAATAATAAAAATATGTTGATTTATTTGTTGATTAATGGTATAATAGGTAATATTATGTGTTTACTGTTTAGTAAATGAAATGTCGTTTAAATTGTTGATTTAAACTGGATTCACATCAACTGACATGTCGTGTGTGTCCAAAAGTTGAGCTCAGCCCCCAACTCTGGAAATTCTCCGGAGATCATATATGATGGTTAGTGATTGATACCATAATTATTTCAGCCATTCAGAATACGATATTAAGCACACGACACGAGTAGAGCYGGATTTACTGCAGCTGTGTCGTATATGTCGTGTCAATCAAATCGAATTCTGATTGGACGTTACTTTTTTAGTATCAAATAATAACCAATAGTTACAACCAAGTATATCAAAAACGGACTTCAGCTCAACTTTTAAATCAATATATGATGGCCACATATGTTATTATAAGTTATAACCATATAGTTACCACGCCCACACATTGTACGACACACGACGTAGCTGTGAATCCGGTTCTAAGGTATATATATTAGTATATTGCATGTGGTCACCGTATTTCCATAACTGTGTGATCCATGTTTTAAATTTTCTTATTATTTACCAAATTAAATAATATTGTTTAAATAAAATTATTTCATTGAACTCAATAGTCATTACTCATYAATAATTTTATTTGAACGACCAACTAACCTATTATACGTCCCATGGCAGAGTAAAGTTGAATATTTTAAGCTATTTGGTGTATTATGTTAACGATATAAGTTATAATACCACTCGACCCATACGGTCACACGAAATACAGTATTCAAAATCAATAACAATTAAAAATGCATGGGTTGATTACAGTATTATTAAAAAAGGTCAGGTAAAAATATTGGGTATAGAATATTAAAAAAATACATTACCTAAATAAATAAATAGTATAATATTGGTTGTGTATAATATTATGTATTTAAAATGACACATGTCTCATTATTATAATACAATTTATAATTTTATAAATCCTCAATCTAAAACGATACAACTATAACATCATTTTATTCATATTATTTGTTCAAATATCYCATTTCGTCTAAATCTGAACTTATAAATTCCGTTTTAATATATTTTGTTTATTTTTTGCGGTTACAATATATCAACTGCTAAGAGAAACATTGTATTTAATTTTAAAGTTTTTCAACACAGAACAATTTTTTTACTGTCAATAATTTAAATAATACTGTATAGCGTAATAAATAGTTCAAAAAGATTCAAAATAATTTTGAAGTTGAAAAATCATAAAAATGTTTGTGTTTATAACTAAGGATTAAAAATACAACAGTAAGTTTTCCATAAGTTTTCTTTCGAGTAGCTATAGAGAAAACTCAAAGCGTCATTAATGGAAAAATGTTTTGAGCGTTTGAGTTTTAAATTTTTATGAAATCGCGTAACGATAACGATTTATCCTCAAACCAGGTATATGTATATCTATGATAATATAAGGTATTATGAATTATGATAACTACCTACATGCAATGTTTTTGGAAAAATTGATTAACCATGCCTTATTCAAAATGCGTCCTAATTGAAAAATAATATATTTGTTTCGAAATATAGAATATATGACAATATTAAAATATAATATATCCTAGACTGACAAATCATCTCCGTTCAGAATCGTTTTTCGTATACAATTATACCTATCATTGCATTCAAATCTAACCTACCCTAGTCAGAGGTCCACCCCACCACCTAATGTACAGCAGAGCGACATCCACTTACCCGCCTTTTTAAGTTGCACCGAAAAAACAATTTATTTCGTAGAAACCTATATAACTATAGTGTTAATARTAATATGCATTTTTGTAAAAATGTATTCACCTATGTGGTATCTAGTAACTATTAACTATATAATGTAATATATCATATACGTAAGTACCTACTGTTTAGATATATCACGGTTATTATACTCTAATTTCTAAAGTTTAGATATAAGGCGTTATAAATTAAAATATAGGGTTTTTTTTTTAACAAAATTTGATTCCATGCTAAACTGTGTAACCTAACTGTATGTTTACCTTATTTTTTTGCAATCCAGCACCACCAATTGAGCCCGGTCGTATGGAGCCAGTTTCGTAAAATCTAGTTAGGATTTTTGACACGCATCCATGTGAAACCAGAAGTTGTCGAGATATATCACATGGGCGGACACCTAACAGAGCTAGCTGTACTATTCGCCTTCTAACGTAGTCCGGCAATGGGCGACCGTTGACAAATACACCACCTAATTGGTTAACGCCAGCTTGACCTGTAATATGAATCAATAGATAACATAATTATCAAATTATCAATTTTAATTTATAGTACTATTTTATAGACTAGGTACTAGGTAGATAGACTTAATGCCTATAAATTTACGAGTTTTAAGAAACGCAGATTCCAAAATATAATACTTATTAAACAATGATTGAAGTCTCAATAAACATCAAAAAGCTATAATCAAAACATAAAAGTTGATTACGACAAAGTATATACCTATTTATAACCTATACTATATACAAATGTATACTGTATGTCTGTATGCCTGCAGAAAATAGAATATATATTATTTTCGTATTAAACACTTTATAACATTATATAAAACTTGGAGTTAATGTGGGCAGACCCCCTCCCAAAAAAAGTGTATTTAATCCACACACATAAATCAATTTATATTTTTCTTTATCTACAGAGTAAAAATATATATATAAATAACATCGTTATTTATTATTAAAATTAGAATGTATGGTAGTATGTTTATATGATAAAAAAAATACGGACAATGTATAGAAATATTATATTTATAAGTCACTATAATTGTTTAAGGCTCGATCAGAAATTGGAGTTTGCGCATGGCTATATGCCTATATAGTACATAATAATAATTGTTTACCTTTGGACGCTTATAATGTGACAGTAGTGATAGCTTATATATTTGTAGTATGAAGAATACACCATGTGTAATATATTATACATTGTGGTAAAAAGRTATCGAAAATAACGATCCTGCACTAAAATCATAGGACATAGATATTAGGTATAATATCTATGGACTATGACTAAAATGGGTGTTTTAATTTTTCAGAATAATATCTAAACATCGATTATTATAAGATTACTTCAACAATTTTCAGGCAGTCAGCTGCTGTCATCATTATTCAGACTGTAATTTAATAATACACTACATGACACAAGTTTCTTGCATATATAGGTTACCTTAATATTATATATTATTTGAAATATTAATATAATAGCTAAGATAATAATAATAATAATAATATACATATAATTGATCGGTGTGAAAATACGCTTAATCAGATATATTATTGAAAGCTTAAAGCTAATATCTCTAGTACCTAATTTCTAATAAATAAAAATCGAAATAACGATAACCTGTAACAAAAATTAAATTAATGTTGGTTTGAAATGAAATAACATTGGTATTCAGAATATAGGTAGGGCTAGTAGGAAGTAGTTGCAATGAAATTGTAAATGCGTTAATTTTACCCAGAAATCATGAGTTTAATAAACACTTGTCGACACGACATGTGGTGATGTATTATTTTGTGCCCAATACATTCATGTTGAAAAAATAAGAAAATTTAAAAATTATGACACTCTTCGGTCCTAATTACTCTCTAGCGTTTGTGGAGAATCAAAAGAATCCTGCGGTAAAAAAAGAAATATAATTTCGATATATAGCGTGTATAATGTATGGTATAGTGCATAAAGTTGGATCAATTGGAATAAGACCTTCCAGCGGTTAGAGGCGGATCCAAGCCGGTGAAATGATGCAACCCTGTAATTTTGTAAAACTACCGCCCATTAACACCTAGGTGGTAGACCTTAGCAGATGTACCGACTTGGCTCCCGGTATTTATCATCATTCAATTCTTTGCAAGACGTTCTGCGCTAGACATATAATGTTTTAAATACCTACCTAAAGAGAATACGACGATCCGTATAATTATGCATAATTGATTTATATGCGTAAACATCTGAACGAAATATATGCATGGATGTTACGTATGAAACTAATGCTTACCAGTATGTGGCATAATGTTCTATATAGGTAATGACGTATACTGGAAATGTACCAATATGATATTATATTCAAGCACTTCTTTTAGTTGTTGACGTAACTTGTGTTGAAAGTTTTACTTAAAACTCTCTTCATTTATAGTTTTCCAATAACTCATCTAAAAAAAGAGTTCATTCTTTAATCAATTGTAAACAGTAAACACTATAATTAGAAATTAAGTTTTAATAAATAATATAATAAAATATAATTCTAGCAAAATATTAAATCCACAATAATTGTGTATAGTATAGAATATATTAGTATTATTATGGCACATTTACTACATTTTGATTTTGTTATCAAACTTTTCACGAAATACCTACCCATTAATTTCACAGACTTCAATCATAACGTGTATCAGTGCAGTATATCGGTTTTAGACTGATGAAATAGATAAATATTTTATCATTTTTATCAATTTTATCAATTTCGTGTAATGGAAATTATTATTTTACACTTAGTGTAATCTTTTTTTAACTTAACTGGTACTATATGGGTAACTTTTTGTAAAATGGTTATCAGAAAACTCAATATGTAAATAGTTAGGATAGTCTAGATAATAGGTTAAATTAGTAATAGTATGTAATACTATTCCCCCAAATCTCAATTTTAAATTATACAGTTAAACAGTTTTATACATATGTACTTTATTGAGAACCAAATAATTTGTTATATTATTTGTATACCTTATAATATATTAATATTATTTCTTAGTAGATAAATTGACATTTTTAACATTTGTATTGATTTTGAATACTGTGACTGTAGGCAACTCACGTGGAGGTCAGATTGCTTAAGAGGAAGACACTGCAGCATCGTTTGTTTTCTCTCTCTCTGGTCTGCGCGCAACACAGGCAAAACATATTTACGCAGAATTATTTTTGTTTATATTTTTGAGTAATTTTAGAGTTAGAGACAAAAACAATAAAGATAAAAATTGTTGAGATCAATTTTTTGTTTAATATACATGTTTTTATTACAAATGATGCACATGCAGTCTATGATATTTGTAAAAAAAAAACATGTAGCTCGTTGCATAAAAAGGCTAAACACCCCCAACATAGAAGCTCGTAGCCACAGCCCACAGTACTTGAATTACGAAAAACATAGAAGAAGGACGTAAAAGTGTTAAAAATTTGCGCGTACATGAAATCTGAAACATTATTAAATGCGTTATTATTGATTTGGAATTTGCATATAACAAATTACAATAGTCTCCGCTCCCTCAAGAGTACCCAACAAACTMAAACACCTACTACTCGTAGGTTGGTGCGATATATATATATACAGGGTGTCCCGTGAGGATTTACTCATTGCGATATCTCCCGAAATAATGGTGATATCTAAATTCTGGTTTTGTAATAAGACTCACAGTGATAAGAACTGCAATTATTTCATATTTTAATTTATTTTAATGTTTTGGTAAAAAGTTAAAAAATATATTTTTTAATTTAATTATTTCAAAAAAAAAGTTAAAGAAAGCCATTTTGTTGAGTTTATTTTTCTGAAAATATTGACATTTCAAAATTTTAATTTCATTAATTTTCTGATTTTTAAATTTTTTTTAGTTTCGAGAAAAATTGTGAATTCTTTAACACCGTAATGTTATCAATCATGTGACCCGCCTCGCCGCGCGCATTCCCATACGGCCGGCCGAATATTTTTCGTGTTCAAAATAGTTATAAATTTATAATCATATTTTATTTCTTCAAAACTAGAAAAAATATTAAAAATTAGGAAATTAATGAAAATAAMATTTTGAAACGTCAATATTTTTAGAAAAATAAACTCTACAAAATGGCCATCTTTAATTTTTTTGGAAATAATTAAATAAAAAAAAGCGGGTAAGTGGATGTCGCTCTGCTGTACATTAGGTGGTGGGGTGGATTAGGGTAGGTAAGATTTGAATGCAATGATAGGTATCATTGTATACGAAAAACGATTCTGAACGGAAATGATTTGTCAGCCTAGGATATATTATAGA